CAGCAAAACCCCTTGTTCCTTCCTATTATTGCTTATACTCTCTCTACAACAAAATTAGAGATAAGGGCAAAATAGTTTCTGCTGGGTATTGAGGGGGGGACGGGAGGGGTGGAGTGGGTGGTAAGGGAGGGGGTGGGGGCAGGGGGGAGAAATGAACCAAGCCTTGTATGCACATATGAATAATAAAAGAAAAATGAGAAAAAAAAAAAAAGAAAAATGTCAGAAGGATCTGTCAATAGTCATCCCAAGTAGGTTGATGGGTCTGAAATATGGATTCTAGTTGGTTGATCATGGCCTGGGGCTTTTCTGAATAAGGTGGTGTGTGGTTCCTCCAATTTAAGAGGCCAGTTGTACCGAAAGGCTGGTAATTGAGGATAGAGTGTCTGGGTTGGACTGTGCCTTCAGCACCAATCTGCTGGGGCCCTTGCGTCTCACGGACTGGCATTTGGAGGCCCCTGGCCTGAAGGGCCGGCATGTGGGATGAGCGAAGGTGGCAGCTCAGGAGCTGTAGACTCAGACTCCAGGCCAAGTATGGGTATGGGACACCACTGGGGCTGGGAGGCTGCTGACGGGGTTGAGGGGAACTCACTGCAGGTGGTGGCACTGGCTGCTCTGATGTTGGTGGCATTCTGGGAATGTACAGAGGGCACAGGCAGTTCATCTTATGGATCCCCTTGCAGAAAAAGCTTGGTCAGCTTCTGGTCTTTAGGTTTCATTACCTGGGCCACAAAAATTCTGCCCTGTCCCTTTTTATTGGCATAGAATCGTACCAAAGGGGGCATGGTCTGAGCCACCTGAAGCCAGGAGTCAATATAGGGGAACTGATTGTGGTGTCTGGGGGTTTTATTATGACCTGATAAATGGCCCTGACAGTGGGCAAATCTAGGGTAACTTCAGGGGGCCAGTTGACCCCAAAAGTGGGCCACTCCAACTCACACAGTGTGTGCGGCCTTCCAGGAGACATTTTGATCCCATAATCTCCTGAGAATCCCTTCTTAAAATGTTTAAGCACACACTCTAGGATTGTGGGTTTTGAGGAACTTCTGCCCATGACAGTTAGAGGTGTCGACAACATCCACCTTATGTATTTCCCCCTGTGTCAGTGGTGCAAAGACAAACGAGGATGGGTGCTCCCTCAGGAGAAGAGCCCAACCAGATGTCTTCCTGGCTGCGTCCTGAAGGAACTTAGGTGCCTTTTAGCATTAATTGTGGGGCCAGCCTTGTGACTCCGGATTGGGTTGCCCTGACGCCACCCTAAGCCGTATGAGGAGCACCACGGAACCGCAGGACAGACCCACTCAGACTCTGTACCCTTTTGGCCATGGAGCCACAAACTCGAGCCTGAAGCAAGGATGAATCAGGCTTGTCTTTCACACACACATTCACACCAGGAGTTATCACCGTTTCCTTCCCCTCTTTTGGGGAAGTCCCTGACCTGTGGAATTCCTCTTAGAGATTCCCAGGAGTTGATCAGACTCCCCTTCTGCCCAGTGGGATAAGACCTGAGTGAGGGCTGACTTTCTCTGGGGGCTTCCTGAATCTGGACGAAATTGCCAGGCAAGTTGGTCCACTTCAAATTGGAGTCCAGTGAGGGCAAGACTACTCAGAAGGCTGGAACTCCGGGGCGAAGGACCTAGAATACCACTGGGTGGTGTGCTGCCTCATTTGGTCCCAAGTCCCTCCCTACTCTGATGCAGTCCAGCCGCTGGCCAGTGGCTCAAGGGGCCAGAATGGTTGGTATGTCACTGGGGTCTCCAGAAAAGTTGTGGAAATATTGCCAGACAAGAAACCAAGCAACACTAGGAGAAGTAGAATTAAGATTTTTATTTTATTTTATACCAATGGTCCCAGATGAGCTCGTACTCAAAATTCTGGGCCCCCAGCAGTAAAATCACAGGATTCTTAAAGGGCAGTGCAGGGGATCAGGTTACAGGGAATGTGCTGGTTGCTTATAGGTGGGCTCACACTGGTGTTAGGGACCCGGGGTTGTTTAGGTAGGAGTAGCAAGGGGGACTGTTTTAGAAAGTCTGTTTACAGAAGGAGACAAAGGTGGGAATGGGCAGCAGGGGATCTATAGGCTGAAGTCTGTTTGCAGAAGAAGACAAAGAAAGGTGGGAATGGGCAGTTATTCTCCACATGGGGCCTTTTATCTTGGCCCTGGACTCATTTTATGGCTTACTAGCAATTTCTCATGTTCCATAACCTGCTTTGAGGTAATCTTCCTGTTCAGGAGCATGCCATAGGAAGAGGCAGAGTAAGCACTCAGCTCATCCTCAGCCATCTTCAGGGTACAGACATGAGTTACAGGTTTAAGTAGACAAAAGAACTGGGGGAGGGGACAAAAGGTATGCATAGCTAAACAGTTCAGTCACAGGTGTGGTCTGGTTGGTCATTATTTCAGTCCTTGTTCTGGGAGAGGTTCCGGAGTTATCTGGAGCCAGGTAGGTGATCCATCCAATGGAAGTTCTACAGTTGGGTGTAGTTTCAGTCCCTTGCCTTGAACATGTTATCTGTCTTTCCTGGAATCCAAGGTGACTGCAGAGAGAATGGCTTAGAGCAAAGACAGATACAAAATGGAGGCAGGGATGCCAGGCTTCTCCTGTTTTTAGTCAATTCATGTGCCCAAGTAAGGAGTCAGTGATTTTTAGCAAAAGCAATATGAGCACCTTTTACAGTTTGAATGTGAATACTGTCTCCCAAAGGAGAATTGGTCCCCAGGATGGTGCTGGGGAGGTGGTAGAACATTTGAGAAGCAGAGCCTACTGGGAGGTCCTTAGGTTACTGGAAGACCTCAATCGCTCAGCTTGCTCTATGGCTTGTGATGTGTACACAGGCACAACCCACCATCGCCATCTTGTGCCTTTACCAGAAGCAAAAGAAAAGGGGCTGCCAGACCTTGGGATGGAATCTCCAGAAGCATGAGCTGAATATTTTCTCCTAAACAAATATAATTTTTTTTGGTGGCACTGGAATTTGAACTCACAACCTCATGCTTGCCAGCCAGGAATTCTTACTGCTTGAGCCACTCTGCCAGTCCACATTTTCTCAGTCAGTTGCCTCAGGTACTTCATTGAAGTAACATGAACCTGACAAAGTTGGGAAAGGGGAAAATGCCTGGAACAGTGGCTTTTGGGGTGCTGATGTTATAGATATATTCTGTCTGAGCCTGGGGTCTTTGTCTCTTATAGATTACAGTGTAGGAGAATTTAATGATAAAAAGTACCAAAAAGTACAGCTCTCAGAGCTTAGAAGGGGTCCCAAGAGAGGGTGTCAAAGAAGTAGCATGGTCTGAGATTTTTTAATCCATTTTCTCCAAGGCATTGCTCAATCTCTACGCTAATTAGGTGCACAAAAAACAGCATTCTGGTTGGCTGTGCCTGCAGTGTTCTGATTGGTCATGTCCTAGACTTGGTCATGTCCTTATTCTGGTTCATCCTACTTTTTCTTCTTTCTCCCCTTTAAGGTCACAGGGAGGTCATAATGGAGGTTTCCAGGGGACCTCTGTCCTAGTTATACTGTCCTAGTCTACTTGCTCATTGGCAATGATTTTTTTCTGGATATGAATGCTGTGGATAGGCATGAATGAAAAGTTTGTGAAAATCCACTGAACTGTACACATGGGATTTGTGCCAACTGCAAGTAAATGGGCTGTCCTTTGAATGTGTCCTTCAAAGGTGGTTCATTGGAAACTTAATCACTAATGCCACAGTGTTGAAAGGCAGGACTTTACAGAGATTAAGTCATGTGGGCAGATTTGAATGGATTTGTTACTGGAAAGTTTAGCAAACCAGACAGAGAATTCAGGCAAGACATGAAAATGTAGTAAAAATAATAGTAAAGTTTATTTGGAAAGGAATTTAGTATAATAGGATAAAAGTGGGAAGAAACGGGGAAATGCATGTTCCCCATGCAGAAAATGGAAGTAGAGACTCAAAATGGTGGTCTTCATGTCTTAGCTTTATACTTCCCCAGTTGGAATACAGGAGGTCGTCTGGCAACCTCTAATCATTAAGATACTGGAACTGGGTGGCTAAAATGGGCATTAAAACAGGGAGATGTTGCCAAGGCCTACCCAGTAGGTGTGCTTTATAACTTGCTTTTGCTAGACCTGCCTTTCATTCTTTTTTGTTCTGCCATCCATTCAAAGGAGCTTTGCGGCTTGTTAACTTATAAAAGAGGAAGGCAGAAGCAGATAGTCCCTTTAAATCTTCCTGATTTTGTAACTTAACACCGAGCTTAACATCTAAATTGCTCTGGCTTTTTAGTTATTACTTTCTAGTTTAATGTCTGAGTCTGGTCCATTTAATACACACATACATATAAAAACATACATATAAAAATAGTATATGTATATATATATATATATATATATATATATACTATTATAATATACTAACATAATAACATAATAAATATAATAAACTATCCTGCCTCACCCATTGCTTATGGATTAATGCCCTTATAGCAGAAGCTGGTCAGTTACCTCTGCAGTAGGTTTCTGCTAAAAAGATGAATTTGGCGCCCAGTCTGGTGGCTACGTCTGTAATCCTAGGTATTCAGGAGGTAGAGATCAGGAGGATGTAGGTTTGAAGCCAGCCAGGGGAAATAGTTCAGGAGATCCTATCTCAAAAATGCCCAATACAAAAAAAGGGCTGGTGGAGTGGCTCAAATGGCAGAGTGCCTGCCTAGCACGGGTGAGGTCCTGAGTTCAAACCCAAGTAACCGCCAAAAAAAAAAAAAAAGTGGGGGCTGCACTTTGGTTTGATCTCGTTCACTTCTGGTGTCCTCACTACAAGATCAGTGAGCAGCTTGGTGAGAGGCGGGGAACACTCTGGCCCGGCCGGGTCCTGCCCCACCGGGACCTTGAGCCGCCCCTGAGCCCTGTCACCTGACAACAGCCGGGTTCCGCTCGCCAGTCCCGGCCCGAGGTCAAATCCCAGGTGGAGACTCACGCAGGGCGCTGGCCACCACCTCGGAGGTGGAGCCTGGGGTTCACTGGCTCGGGGTCCGGCATGGCCGCCACGCTGACTGTGGAGCCCGCGGGCCGCTGCTGCTGGGACGAGCCCGTGCGCATCGCCGTGCGCGGCCTGGCCCCCGAGCAGCCCGTCACGCTGCGCGCGTCCCTGCGCGACGAGAAGGGCGCGCGCTTCCGGGCCCACGCGCGCTACCGCGCAGACGCCGCCGGCCACCTCGACCTGGCGCGCGCGCCCGCGCTGGGCGGCAGCTTCGCGGGGCTCGAGCCCATGGGGCTCCTCTGGGCCCTGGAGCCCGACAGGCCGTTCTGGCGCCTGGTCAAGCGGGACGTGCAGACGCCCTTCGTCGTGGAGCTGGAGGTGCTGGACGGCCACGAGCCCGACGGCGGGCGGCTGCTGGCCCGGGCGGAGCACGAGCGCCACTTCATGTCGCCAGGGGTGCGGCGGGTGCCGGTGCGCGCGGGCCGGGTGCGGGCCACGCTCTTCCTGCCGCCAGGTGAGGTGGTCTGCTTACCGTTGCTTACGCCAATGGTTCTACCGAATTGGAGGATGTTAGCATGTTAGGCCCCTACCGTGTCTTTTAGTTGAATTATCTAATTTAATCTTTGTTATATCCCAATGCGGTAAATTATTGCGAAGTAGAAAAAAGAGTTTTTCTGTGCTATTAATCACTACTCTGCAGATCTCCTCTGGCAGCAGTGGGAGTGGTTAGGAAAAATGATGGCAGTCAAGGAGGTGATTGTCATAGTTGTGGGCACAATGGGTCCCGCCTCCACTTCTGCATGTCCTTTCTACCTCTGATCACGCTTCACTGCCTTCCGCACCAAAGGCCAACTCTGGGTGTTTCTTTTTCTTTTTTCCCTCTACAGAGACATCTGAAATGTCAGTACACAAAACCTCAAGGGTCGATGCAACACTACATCCAGCTTCATTTTACGTTAATTGTATGTCTGCTCCTCCAGCAGAACATTGTGAATCAACACCGTCTAAAACTTGAAATTCCTCCTTCTAAAACTTGAAAACCTCAACAAAAGGTTTTGTTACTCTCCTTCACAACTAATGACTGTGAGAACTGTACAGTTAACTTATCACAGAATCATGTGATGGGCAGGCCAGCAAGGAGAAGTGACTCTGGGGTTGGGATTTTTCTCCCTCCAGGGCCTTTCTAAATAATTTAGAAAGGCTTGTAAAAGGAAAGCAAATTCTTCATGTTGGATAATGCCTTCCCCTCATGATATTCCTTTCTCTAGGACCAGGACCCTTCCCAGGGATCATTGACATCTATGGTGTTGGAGGGGGCCTGTTGGAATATCGAGCTAGCCTTTTGGCTGGCCATGGCTTTGCCACGATGGCTCTAGCCTATTATGACTTTGAAGATCTCCCCAAGGATTACAACACTGTAGAGCTGGACTACTTTGAAGAAGCCATGTGCTACCTGCTTCAACATCCCCAGGTTTTCCTCCCATCCTTTATTTAATCTGTCGCTCTAGGAATATCCTCCTAGAGGGTGTCACCTGTACCAGTTGCTGCTGTTCTTTTTTCACAGAGACTTCTTCTGGATACTTCCTTGGCTTTGGGCACTTATTATGTCACCTTTATCTAATGGGTTCATGCTGCAGAATTGTAGAATCTATGTGAAATCTCATTAGTAATACTGAAATTCCTCTTGTAATACAAATTGAGCTTCTTGTCTTTATCTTTGCACACTTATTTTTAATCTTTTAATTTTCTGCTATCAGCATATGTTCTCAAATTTTCATCAGAACCAGCCTACTCCTTTCAGAGACTAAGAACTACTGGAGTAGACTGAAGTCTTGCTGTGTTTTTATGAAGTTAATCATTTGCTAGTGTATTTGGAGGCAGCCTGATGAATAATACGTTGAATAGAATGTGGTTCCTCACCATTGAATACCAAACCACATAAACACTTGGATCAGGCCGTGAACTTGACAGGCTCCTGGCTCAGCACTGTCTTCTCTGAAACATCTATAACTAATTCCTAAGTTTGACAGTGAGTTTAAGATTTGTTTGTTGGGTTTAGCCAGATAATCAGTACTTGAGGATGAAGTTCCCTGTGAGCTGATGTAGACAATTCACAGGAGTACTGGACTTTTGAACTCAGGGCTTTGTGCTAGGCACGTGCTTTTGTTTGCTAGGTAGGCATTTTACAGCTAGTGCCTTGCCTCCAGCTCTTTATTGGGTAATTTTTTGGGGAGAGGCCTTGCTCTTGCTAAGCAGGCGCTCTACCACTTGAGCCACTCTGCTCCTTTTTATGTTGAACTATTTGCCTGGACTGGCTTTGAACCCCATCCTCCTAGTCTCTGCCTCCTGAGTAGCTCGGATTACAGATGAGAGCCACCTATTCGGTAAATTCTTGACTCAACTCTTCTCTCTTCTTTTCTTCCAGGTAAAGAGCCCAGACATCGGACTTCTGGGCATTTCTCTTGGAGCTGATATTTGTCTCTCAATGGCCTCATTCTTGAAGAATTTCTCAGCCACAGTTTCCATCAATGGCTCTGGGTTCAGTGGAAACAGAGACATACACTATAAGCAGACTAAGATCCCACAGTTGGGCCATGACCTGAGGAGAATCAAGGTCACTTTCTCAGGCATTCTGGACATTGTGGATATACGCAATGATATTGTAGGAGGGTGTAAGCACCCCAGTATGATTCCAGTAGAGAAGGCCCAGGGGCCCATCCTCTTCATTGTTGGTCAGGATGACCATAACTGGAGGAGTGAAGTGTATGCCCAAATAGCTTCTGAAAGGCTACAGGTGCATGGAAGGGAAAAACCCCAGATCATCTCTTACCCTGGAACTGGGCATTACATTGAACCTCCTTACTTCCCCATGTGCCCAGCCTCCCTGCACAGATTAGTAAACAAAGCTGTGGTCTGGGGTGGGGAGCTCAGGGCTCACTGTAAGGCCCAGATAGATGCATGGCAGCAAATTCTGTCCTTCTTTCACAAACACCTGGAGGGTACCCAGAAGAGTACTTCCCCCAAATTGTAATGCATTTGTTTGTGTTGACATATAAGATTCAAGGTGCTAGGCACCAGTGGCTCATGCCTGTAATCCTAGCTACTCAGGGCAGAGATCAGGGGGATCGGGGTTCTAAGCCAGCCCCAGGGAAATAGTTTGAGAGACCCTATCTCAAAAAGACCCACAAAGATGGGCTGGAGTGGCTCAAGGTGAAGGCCCTGAGTTCAAACCCCAGTACCTCAAAAAAAAAAAAAAAGATTCAAGGTCATATTCTGGTGTTCAGTAACTTATGTGAATCACTTGTCCTCTGAAAACATTAAATTCATGTTTTTGACATTAATGGTATATTTTAGGTCACTTTATTGAATAAGTTTTATTTGTCAATATGGTATTTTACTAATGTAACACATACTTGTAGATTCAGACATACAACACAAGAAAGTAAAAACATGCTATTAAAATTTGTGTTTTTGTCTAAGTTTTTGTTTTAGTTAATGCTTTCATTTGTAGATGAGTTTTAAAGATGGGTGGCCAGGCATGATGGTGCATGTCTATAGTCCCAGCTATGCTGGAGGCCTAAGTAGGGGGATCATGGTCCAGGGCTGGGGTTGAGTAGCTAGGATTACAGGTGTGACCCACTGGTGCCCAGCTTCATGGTAGTTTTATAAAATAACATAGCTATAAATTCTGTGTCACTCCCTCACCAAGAGTGGGACCTAATACCCCCTTCTCTTCAAGACTGCATGGGATTGTGACTGTGTCAATCCATAGATTAGAACAGAAGTGATACTGTGTGATGTCAGAGACTAGGCCACAAAAGACCATGCAGATTGCACCTTGTTTTTTGGAACACCTGCTCTTGCAATCCTGGACTGCCATAGATCAAATTCGACTACCTTCAGGCTGTTGTGAGGAAGTCTACACCACAGGGAGAGACTAACTGTAGGCACTCCTGTGACTCTCCCAACTGAAGTGAGACCATGAGTCAGTCATCTTAACCCAGGTGTCAGTCAGACAATGTGATTGAAAAAAACCGTAGAGGATTCTCGCCCCAACTAGTTGACTCTTTCCAGCCAATGCTTCCAACTCCCTGGACCACAGAAGAGCTTTCTTTGTTAAGCCTTGTCCAAAGTATGGGATTATTAATAAAATAAATGAGTGTGCTTGTTTTAGGTGACTTATGTCTGGATTTGTCTCAGTTTTCTATTGTGTTAACAAACCACCCCAAATCATAGTAGAATAAAACAATATCCATTTGTTTTTCTTAAGACTATGCAAGTTGTATAGGACTCTAGGAATGGATCACTTCTGTTCCAAGTGGTACTGGCTCGGACAGTTTGGCAGTTGGAGGATCTACTTTCATGGCAGGAAGGTTGATGCTGGCTATGGATTAGGAGGATTCTTAGTTCCTCTCCACCTGTGCCTTCACTGGCTACTTGGGCTGAGTTGTAAGAGTGGGCATCCCAAATCAGTAAGGCAGAATTGCATGGCCTTCCTTTGACCTAGTGTTGGGAGCTACATGGCATTACTTTTGCTATACCTATTGTTCAGGGCAGTCACAAAGGCCCACCAAAGTTCAAGGAGAATAGAGAGTCCACCTTTTTAAAGGAGAGTGCCAAGACTCTAGAATAGTGTGGATGAAAAGGAAAATACAGTCTGTCTTCTGGCCACGTTTCTAACATGCAATATACATTCCTCCTCCAAGGCCCCCACACTCCCGTTTTTTTTTTTGTTGTTGTTTGTTTTTAAGCACCATGCTCAGGCTCCATCCAGTACCAAGAGCTTTTTATCTGTATCAGATTTAGGTGCAGAGCACCTGGAAACAGTTCCTTTGAGTATCATTCTTCTCGTTCTGAACACCAGTGAATAAGCTAACTATCCTCAGAGACCCCCACTATAATACTGTGGAGGGAAAGGTGTAAATAACTCTGATTCTTCCTATTCAGAAAGGGGAAATGGGAGGCACACAACTGTCATTGCCTCCTAACAGTTCCAAAATCCACCTGAGAACATACTGCCCACTTTATTAGTACTCAGCTTCCTTCAGGTGAGTTGTTTTCTTTTGGCTCTTGGATCAACCTTAGTACTTGAAATAATAAGAAAACTGAATTAGCAACTAAAAAGTTTATAAAACCTGCTTCCCAGATGAAAAAGATTGGGAGTCCAGAGTTTTCTTTTTCTTTTGTAATGTCTCTCTCTCCCTTTTAATTAGAGTTCATAATGCCTCCATAGAATTCTCTCAAAAACTTCATGCACTTTAAAAAATCTCAGTGTGATTCATCCATTAGGTTAAATATACCACTACAAATCTGTTTGAGATAACTTCTCTACATTGGACTTCTGTGGGGGATGCTACAGGACAATACCTTTAAGAGTTCCAGAATCCATATTATTTATTAGACAGGCTCAGTTAGGCAAATTCTTAAAATCTTTTCCTCTCAAAAAGAGCCACAGATAATGGTCTTCAAGGTGGAATATCTCCTTCTGGTGCTGGGCCCTTATGAAAGCTTACCCATATGTCAAAGATGTGAAACTAGACCAGTCCTTTCAGTTCTCTACGAATATCCATATTAAGCTCATAAATCAGTGATGCACTGCTGACAGACTTAGAAGTGTTCACTAGCATTGCAATTCCTCTACAGCTTCCCATTTTATCTTGTAAGCAAAGGCCTGTGACTGGTACAAACACAACCCTTCATTTGGATAAGAAACTGCCATGACTGGTGACATGGGGCATTGTCCCATGACTAGTCCAAAAGCAATCATTTATTTGCATGACAGGATTACCATGATGGTTACAGACACCCTTGTCAAACCTCCTTCTGGCTATATAAGCAGGGTGTTGGGACTCACTTTGTGAGTCAGCTGAAAGACTGTACTGATACTTGGTGTTGCAACATTAGGCCCGATAAAGGCTTCTCTCAGGTGGTCTTTTCTTGCCTACTTTTGATCTTCATGGTTAGTCGAGTGGCTGAGCTCTTAATATGAAAAAGGAAGAGGTGGCAGCAGCAGTGACAGTAGCAGGAGCAGCAGCAGAGTTGGTATCAGTGGCTGTAACACAGGAGCAACAGTAGAGCTGGCAATGGAGGACACAACAGCCCTGGCAGCCCAGAGGCAGTAACAGCAGTGGTAGCAACAGGGCTCCAATAGCAGTAGGGCCAACACACACAGCAGGAAAAGGCAGCAGTGTAGACAGAAATGGTGATATCCACCACCCTGGCAATGTAGCTATAACAGCACTGGTAGCAGAGACAGTGGCTGGGGTAAAAGCAGCAGAGACAAGCAACAGCAGAAGTGGACAAAGAGGAAGAGAGCTGAGGCTGAAGAAGGTTGGAAGACTAAAAAGAGCCAGAAAGAAGAGAGACTGTGGACCCTGGTAGGAGGAAGAGAGCTGTAACCCTTGTTGCTGACAAGCACCAAGTAAGGGTCCTCACATCGGAGCAGAACTGTAATATTTGCTGTTACAGGCTACGGGTCCCAGCACCAGACCCTGAACAAGAGCCATAACACTGGAGGGCGCATCTATTACTGCCCACTGGCATCTACTGCCCATGATTACAAAGCCCACCAAGGGCCCAGGACAATGGAAAGAACTTCTCCTTGCCTACCCACAATTCCTATCAGGGTAGAGAAGGATCCTATCCAGCTGATTGATAACGCAGGGAACTGGGTCTGAGATTTAGGTCTCCCACCTCCTTGCTCAGCCACTTTGCGAATAAACTCTCTTTTGCAAAACTTGTTATTTCAATGACTGGCCTACTGTACTGTAAGCAAAATAGACCTGGTTTGGTAGCACAAGTGTGTTGGACTGGAATGCATGAACCCTAATAGGAGATGTGGAGTGTACTTATAAAACACCAATTGTAGCAAATGTAACATACTAATGCAAGATGTTAACATGTTAATAATAGAGGAAACTGTGTGTAGGTGATGTTGAACTGTGACTCTGCCAATTTTTTTTTGTGGGGGAGCAACCTAAAACTGCTTTTAAAGATTAAGTCTATTAATTTTTTTAAAAAGTTTCCTCCTCTTAGGCTGGAGGTGTGGCTCAAGCGGTAAGCACCTGTTTTGCAAGCACAAAGCCCTGAGTTCAAACCCCAATCCCATCAAAAAAAAGGTTCCTCCACTTAAAAAGCATATATTTAATCATATTACAATAAAAAGAAAATAAAGGTAATGTCCAATGTTACTCAAGGAGTTGGGAAAGGGGTTCCTTACAATGAACTGTTGGTAAGAGTGTATGTAGAGTGGCTCAAGTGGTAGAGTGCCCCCTAGCAAGAGTGAGTCCCTGAGTTCAAACCTCAGTGCCACCACCACCAAAAAAAAAAAAAAAAAAAAGGTTAGAGCTTGTAGTTTCTTGGTGCCATATTTTTGTTTTTAAGTTATTCCACATTCTTTAGGAATTCTCTTATCTTTGAAGATACAGAGATGCCAAGAAGAATTCAAACTGCTCTTATTACCATCAGGTCATATCCTCCCCTTGGTCTAAGCAGAATTAACATGCCTGACCACTCTTCTCTTCCTCACTCCTGAGGATTAAAATACACAGGCTTCTCTGTTTCTTTGGTTCTTCACTTTTGAAAATGCTCAGTCACATATTATTTTTTTTTCTTGGTGCTGAGACTCAAACCCACGTCCCTGTCCATGTTAGGTAAGCACTCTACCAGTAAGCAACACTCCTAGCCCTTATATATGAAACAAGTGTATATGCTTTTCTCTGATTAACTTGTTATTTGCTACAGGAACCTCAGCTATGAATCTATTGTGAGTGAGAAACAGAATGTTTTCATTCCCACAATTTCCATATTGAATTCACAACTGAAAGGCAGTGGATTATTGAGCCTATGTTCGATGTGAAAATTGCTTAATCTGCCACTGCAGAGAGCAAAGTCAAAGAAAAAAACCTTCAAATAATCTCCAAAAAAATTTCTAAAAATGTATCCTGACTGTGTTCAATAGACAAACAAACTAGACTGACAAACAAAGTCAAGATCTCTTGGAGCTTGATTATTTTGATCAGTCCAATCTAAAATGCAGACGTCTAAGAGTTAACTCATGAAGACTGAAAACAGAAAGAAAGAAAAGCTAAAAAAGGGTTTTTAGAGCTAAACTGCTATAGGAACTGTTTTAACCAAAAATTCAGTGTACAGCATTAAAAGATTACATAACAGGACAAATGAAAATCTTAACATATGAACAGATGACCCTTTTTTATCCCGTACTATCAGAGATATAATTTGTATTCAACTTCCTTCTTATAAACTGATGAATTTATATTTCTGTATTTTTTTTTTGTTTCATGACT